CAGGGTAAGGAAGGATTATTTAGTAACAGCAAGTCCTACCTCAGTCTCCAGCTGTTCTGCAGCATTGCCTTAGTCATCTCCTTTCCATAATTGCTGTAATACTTTTCTCCGTCTTCCTTTGAATTGCACAGGTTGTTATTCTTACAAGTACTTGAATGGCTTTAACTATAGGGATTATGGACAGCAAATCAGAGAATGAACATTTGAGAACTGTCACTGTGTGACTTAGACCTTTTTCTGACTTACCATAGATGTGTGTATAAATATAATGTTTTGCCTAAGGAAATTGTATGTCTGCATAATTAGTTAAAGTCCAGATTCAGCTTCAAAAAGCTGAGAGCATCCATTAAAATTTGGGTGTCTTACCACCTTGCTCTGCTACTTTTATGGAGAAGAGCTGCCCTCTGCAGTACATTGGACAAATATGTAAATATCGTCCTGAAGCTCTAACCTTAGCAACAGCCACTGTAGCAGTAGACTTAATTCATTTTTGGAAAATAGGAATTACTGTAAATAAAAATATAAAAAATGTAGAAAATAAAGGCTAAGCAGAAATTAAAGTTCTGTGACTTCTGTGTAGAGATGTGAAATAAGCATCTGCAAAGCTATAAATTGTAACCAAAATATTAATACTACTAATTAGATGTTATATGACTCTGGGATTTACTTGATATACATTTATTATCTTTTCTCCAGAGCTCTGAAGAACTGCAACTTTCAAAAGCCCACATCAACCAAATTATTGGGATTTTAAGGGACTTCATTCGCTCCCCTGAGCACAGAGTGATGGCTTCGACCATATCCAAGTTGAAAATGGATTTGGACTTTGACAGCACTTCCATCAATCAGATCCATCTGGTGCTGTTTGGGTTTCAGGATGCGGTGAGTTCCTTGCCAGGCACAGAGGGAGGGGAATTCTTCCAGGACAGAGCTCTCCCCATGGGTTTGTAGCTTCTCCTCTCTTCCTCACTTCTTGCCCCTTAGCCTGTTCCTGCTGAACAGCAGAGGGACACACCGGGCTGGATGCAGCGCTCAGGGAGATGGGTGCTGCCAGCCAGGCCATGAAGCCGAGCAGGGGGTTGAGGGCTGCCCATAGGCTACCAGCAAGCTGCAAGATTTGTTCTGAGCCCTACGTTTATTTCATGTCCTACCTCCCCTGGTTCAACAGAGGAGCTAAAACTGTCAAATTGTTGTTTGACTTTGGAAAGTGGGAGGGCATTAGTGACTCATGCAGTTGTTTCTTTATAAACTTCACCTTAATATTGAAAAACAAGACTTTCTTTCCTAAGGTGTAAGCACCTGTTGTTTCCTACAGCTTTTACTTGTGTATTTGCAGGTGAACAAAGTATTAAGGAATCATTTAATACGGCCCCACTGGATGTTTGCAATGGACAACATAATTCGCCGTGCAGTCCAAGCAGCAGTCACTATTCTTATTCCAGGTAAATCAGAACAGCTGTAAATAACATAACAAAAAAGAGCTGATCAAGAGCTTTCAGGGACCTCAGCAGCCTTTCTGTGCTGTGGAGACAATATAGTCCAATATTTAATTGGACCTGGAACCACTTCTAGTAAGAAGGAAAATAACACTATACAACATTTTAATGAAATCCGTGTGGAAATCTGCTGCTTGTCTGGTCTGGTTATGTGTTCTGTAAAATCACTGCTGAGCTCTAGAGCAGATGCAAAGAAGGGGAAGGAGCAGTGCATTTGTATGAGAAATATGATTTTGGCCTATAGATGGGTAGTAGGAAAAATCACCACCATCACCAAGAGGGGAGAGGCTAAAAGATGATGCACTGTTCAGGAATACATCTAAGTTGGAGAGCTGCAAGCAGCTTTGTAACTCTGAAGTGCTAAGCACTCTTTCTGGTATGAGAATATTCTGAGTGCACTTACTGATGGTGAGCCCTTTCAATCTGAAGTTGCCATGGCTTTAGAACCAAATCAGCAAAATGTCTTAAGACTTCGTTGTCAGAAGAAAATTGGCAGCTCTTCTTTGGTGGGAAGGGCAGAAGCCTGCAGCAAGTTCTGAGAGAAATAGGGTTAGAAATGCTTCCTGGGAAAGAAAATGGCTTTGTAACTTTTTGGTAAAGGGCATTAGGGATAAAAAAACTTTTAAAAAATTATTAGAGTAATAAAGAGAACAAAAGCCTAACAAGCTTTCATGGATTTCCCATTAACGCATTTCACTAACTGCCTTGTAATTCAGCACAAGCATATTTATCACAGCCACCTCTACTGGTAAACTACAGCTGAGCTACTACAGTGCCATTTGTACTTATCTTAGAATTGCGGTCATAAAATCTGTGGCCCAGCTAACAAGGCTTTGCTACTCCCCTCCTCACCACTGTAATAAAAATGAAAAAAAGTGCACATCCTCAGCTGGAGCATCCTCAATTCCAGTAATAAAGAAGAAACTGTACCAGCCCACGGAGCTATCCTTGTATAAAAACAAACAAACTTGTTTTATCAGAGCTTCGAGCTCACTTTGAGCCAGCATCGGAAATGGAAGGTGGGGACAAAGACGGTGACGAAGTGGAGGAGAGCTACCAGCCCACGGAACAAAACGGGGCCGAGGACCCTGCCGTCACATCAGGAGTGAGCACCCTCAGCTCCGTGGTGTCCCATGAGGCGCCGCAGCAACTCAGCCTGGAGTTGGGTAGGCTCAAACAGGAGACCGTCAGGTAATCCCTAGATAAAGGCTATGGAGTTACTTTCAGGCAGTCTTTGAAAAGCTCAGACATGCTTTCAGCAGTGATAGGTACATACATGGTAAGAACACCACCTAGACTGTGATAAAGCAGACCTTCCAGGAACACAATCAGATTCAGAATATGCTGGCAGCACTGGCTGGACAGTTCAGCAGCCTTCAGTGCAACTTTTGTTCCTGCATAAATATTTTTAAAGTGCAGAATGTCCTGTTGGATTTCTACCGTTAAGTAATTAGGCCTGTGTAACTGCATTGGTTTCTTTCCTACTTCCTTAGTCCTCTGGATGCCACCTGACCCAGTGTCCTCAGAGATGTTCCTGCGAGTTTTAGGAAAACACCAGTATAAAGGCAGAAACTCTGCCCAGGGCAACCACAAAGTAATAGGAACAGGATTTACACATACATATTTACTAAATTCTGCCACAACGATGAAGGCCTTGAAGTGCCACCACTATGCTGAGTCTCAGACAACCAAAATGAAATGTTTTATCTTCCTGGGAAGAGTATCAAACATCTCTGACCTGTGGTAGTTGTTAAAAATACTACTTCTTTTTTCTTTCTTTAAGTAAATTTGATTATTCTCACTATGGTTATGTTCGCTCTCTCTTGTATGCTAACAGGCTTTTGGAAAACCTAATTCAGAAGGAGAAAGAGTATCAGACGCTCTTACAACAATCTTTGGAGCAAAAAACTCAGGAACTATGCTTGCTTCAATTAAAACTTAAACCCAAAGGTAGGAGGAGATACTGCATACTTTGACAGTTATACCCAAGTGTTTTAGATCACATGATTAGTGGTAAATAGATTTGGCTCAAGGTATCTAAAAAGAGCCTCAATTTTAAGTAGTCTCAAACCACCACTTCTGTCCTAGTTTTTAAGTGTATTAACCCATGCTTTATTTTTTTTTTTTCTGTTTAAGACTCTCGGTGGACTGCATCAACAATTAAAGAGAATGCAGACCCTGAGCTCACAAACTGGCTGAAACAACAAGGAGCAGACTTGGATGCAATTAAGAGGGTAAAAAAAAAAAAAAAAAAATCACCTTAAAAAAACAGAACAAAACATCATTGCAGTCATTGCTAGCAGTTCAGTTTCAAAGGACTACTAATTTAGGAACAAATTTGCCTTTCAGTTTGCTGAAGAGGATTATACACTAAGCATTGTCCTCAATGATATCACTAAAGATGATTTGCGATACCTTCAACTGCGGTAAGGAACTACCTCTTAGGTCATTGAGAGCTTAATTTATTTAAAAAAAAATGAAAAAAGTGGGCCTTAGACATTAGGATTTTCAAATAGCTCTGTTAATTTACTCTGTGATCTTCTGTTAATGTTGTCCATGTGTTAACTGACACACCGTAATATAACCTAGGGTGCTTCATGCCACTTAAGCTTTGGTTTTTACCAAGGTTGAGAACTATTTCTCCATCATTGAAGACTAAGTGAACACATGGAAAGCATGAATTTACTTTTCCTACCCCTTGATTAAAATCCTTTCATTGTCATTCCATTAACCCCTGGATGACATGGAAGAAGTTGTTCTGGCCCTAACCTTAAAGGAGCATAGAGCGTTTTCTGTGCCATCTTAATGGCAAATCATTGGGAAGTCTAGAGTTTAGTGGTTGCTCACTGTAGAGTAACAGAGATGAGGGTGTTTTCTCCTAACCTGTTACTGTAGTCCCTAATTGTTCTCCACTCTTCTTCATGCAGAGGTGGTCTTCTCTGCAGAATTTGGAATGCCATATTAATCCACCGCCAAACAGCTGATAAGACCTCCGAGGCAGAAGGTTAGCTCTTTGGAAACAGAACACGTAATGGGAATAAGCACCTAAAAGATACATTCCTAAGTTATTAGATGTACATATATGTATAGTGGCCTTGCAGGTTTTGCACAACTAGACAGCTTGTTTGACCACCAGTGTAACACAGTGAATAGTAACAGCTTATGAAAGAGTAAAGCAGAAGTCAAATGCCTGTCACTGTAAATACAAAGCCTTAGCTGAGACAAAACTTGTCTGCAAAACATGTACCACTTCACCGCTGTGAAAACTGTGAACTTAACGTGTTACAGCTCTGCAGGGGGATGGTTGAGCAGGAAGGGGTTAAGCACATCACCTCTTTGTAGTTGACTCTATATAGCTTTTTGTATTAAAGCTACTCTTGCTAAGAAAAGTCTGGCCTGATGCTTTTATTTAGTAACTTCTCTGCAGCAAAAACGCAGCTAACCAAAATGTTTTTTTTGGCAAGTGGTTGGTTCATAAAGAAATGATGCAAACAGACAACCAAGTTAAATGTTATTGAAGTTTAATTTTTTGTCTTTACACTGTACATGACACATACAGCACTCCAAAGGAAAGTTTATAAAGCAAATACATAGCAATTTAAATAAACCATTGCTTTCTCTTAATGCAGCTCCTTCCAAAACAACATTCAGGCGTGTTTAAGACAACCCATACTTTGATGGACAGCCTTACACAACCCCTCCTTATTTGAAAGAGCTTTTAAATAAGATCAAGGTTTATTTCTGAGTCATTACAGTTCTTGTAATGCATTCACTTATTCTTATGAATAAGTTATGCCCAATAAAAAGGCCTTTAGCTGACAGACTTGTACTTTATCCACTGGTTTGGGCCACGCACTTCAAAGGGTGGCTCGTTGTAGTAAATGTGGTTTCCTAGTTCTTCCAGTGGTGGCTCTGGGTCAGTGGTAGCAAACTGAGCAGCTTCCTCTATCTCCTTTCTCACTGCCACATCAATTTCCTAAATGAAGAAACGAGATGTTAATTTGAAGTCAGCTCAGAAAAAGCATCCTAATCTTGAAGTTAGTTAAAAGCAGTGATGAAGCCAGACTTTGGCTGGACTTTGTGTTAACACTGTCTATAACAGACCTAAAAAAAAATGTGGAATGTCCCTCCCTACTAAAGTGAAGCATTTGTCCCTTTAGACAGGACAACTAACTTATTCATAGAGGAACATGACCACACCGAGCATTTTTCGTTTTGAATTCTGAGCCTGCAAAACAGTAAGAATGCAGCCAACTTTTACTGCAACCCTGTCAGTCAGTTTATCACCATGCAACCCATCACTTTAGATGCAGAGAGACCTTCATAAGGTGTAAGTAGATCTCAATACCACCTTTGCTTGCTATTACTGTATTACCTTCCACACAGGTCTTTCATAGAAATAATTTTTTTCAGTAGTGATAAACTTGGTAACCCATACATGAGAGGGCTAAGTATATGACACGTTCTATTTGTAGCTTAACCTTTAACTGTCCATATATTCTTTGTCACTTTACATACAAAAGATGTTGAGGTCGGTAACATATACAGCAGCAGCTACACTGGGCATTGTAAGATTTCACTAGAAGCATTTTCTTTGTTTTATTTTAAAAACAAAATTGATCAGAAGTTTTAGAATATTTGCTTTGAGGGTTTCTGGCTTGTTCACAACCAATGACCTTTGCCACTGTTAAGACACCGCGAGTTCAGAGACTTGCCTCCTTTCTAGCTCATATGAGCAAGTTTGATTTCTAGATCTTAGTATGACAATAGATTTATTTGAAGAGCCTTGCACTGAGCTATGCTGTTTCAGCTCATTCAATGTAATGAGTAGTCTCATTAGCTGGTCTACAATGAAATTTCACAGTAGAGTAGCCCAACAAGTTATATTCCAAAAAAATATATTCCAACAAAAAACCCTGAAAGAACGAGTGATGATACACAACGCAGTGTAAATATGTTTCTCAGATAACTAGTATGTGAATGCACAAGAGTTGGCTTAAACATCAATTTAAAGTCATACCTTTAATTCTTCGATGCTTGCAAGGTTATTGTTGATCATTCTGTCCTTCAGCAAAGTAATGGGATCACTTTTGCTTCTCACTTCCTGGATTTCTTCTCTAGTACGATAGCTAGGAGTGAGACAAGCAAAGAGACGGTAGCCTTTAGTGGTGTCCTTGAACAGAAGTGAGGTTCTGGACACAGCTCCCTTTTACAGAAGAGGCATGACCAAAGAATTGTCAGGAACACAATGAAAATACAGCAACATTCATTACTGCACAACCACATCTAGAACACTTCTTAGATTTGAAAGTGGATGCTGAGCTGAAGTAGATACAGACTTGAATATAATGCAGGCAGGGAAAGGGAAGCTATCACAGCCTGAGACAGTTACCTATAGAGGTAGCACTTCCCCCTCCCCATCTCCTCTGAGGAGAAATAACAGTGGGGCTTGGTGGCTTGCTGTGGCGTTAGGTGGGTCACACAGTGTGTGACGTGTTTCATGAGCTCAATCAATGAAAAACTCCATTTCACTACAAGTTTCTGATGATGTGTTAAGACACACCCTACTTCATGTAGGTCAGTTCAAGTTTGTCAGATGGCACACAGTGCCCAAATCTTTCTAGCATCTCTATGTTTGTATTTTTTAAGTATTCCATTTGACTCCATCTGTTGTTATACTTTTAAGTTAGAGGATTTTATATACTCTAAAAACCCTAGAGAAGTGCGCTGCTTTTCAGTCAAAGCTTGCTTTTAACACACCATAAACTCACACTGAATGCAGAATTCATTAATAAAAAGTACAGAAATTTAACAAACTCAGCTCTTGTTCTAGAACTAAATTTCCTACCAGTGCAAATAAAACGTGTATGTTACATTGCCCCTGATTACCCACTGAGTGATGAGATGAGTGACCAGACTGGGCAGTGATTTATTTCATCGTGACTACCTTTACGCACTTCACACTGGATTTAAACACCAAATCCATGACAGTTTCCTGATTTTGACCATCAATACTTAATTATTTTCAGCAAATACCAATAAAGTATTTCACAGTACCTTATTCCAGGGTCACTCATACTGTGGCCGTGGTAACGGTATGTCTGCAACTCCATCACGATAGGACCCTCAAAAAGACAGGAGATGCAGAGCATTATCACCTCGAGCAATCGCTGTGTTATTATAGCAGCTCACCTATAGCAATACTGCACCAATGACAAATGATTTTAATGCAGTTTTCTTAGTTTAATTAATTCACATAACATTATGGCAACTAGTAAAATGAAACGTAACTTTTCAAATAAGATTATGTTGATACTACTAGCCTTTACTTCCGTGTTTTTATTGAGCAGTATTACACCATTTGGTCCCTCCCAATGCCACTGAACCACTACCCAGACTACTTCAAATCACCTATTATTTTCACTTTAAGACTGTAACTAGCAGAAACTAGTTCTTCTTTATGAAATTTTCTTCTTTTCATGCTGTGCATTCCAAGCGTAAATATCATTTTGCTAAATATTTCAACAAATGTGAGAACCAATGTATCATACTTGGGTGACAGACACTTGTGCTGAAAAACCTTAAGGTTTTATCTAGTTCTGTATGCATTGCTAGGGAGGTATATAAAAATAGATCTCTTATCAGCTTGTATCAAGTCTCACAGAACTTCACTTTCCCTTTGTTGCAAATATAGAATTGTTTTCCTTGCCACTTACCCTAAGAAATCTCTTCACAAGAACACAGCTGTCTAACAGTCCACACGTTTTAAGCAGAATTTAAGTAAGATAGAAAGCAGGAAGAAGTTAACAGGGTACCAGGTCTGTGATTTTTTTTCTTCTAGCTTCATTAATACCAATTGCATGTAAACAATCCTAACAGTATTAAAAGAACTCTCAATGACTCCCAGGTTCCATTTGGTGGAGAAAAAAGGAAATGAATGTCAAACAAGTCATAGCTACTACAGAAAACTGGGCTAGATGAGAAATATTTTATGCAGCAACTATTGCTACGACTTCCACCTATGGTAGAGGAGTGGCTATTGACTTACTTTTCCAGCTCTGCAGTGCTCAGTTGCAAACTTGGTTGCTTCTCGGACACATAGAACATCCATGCCATCCACCTGAGACACAGAACAGCAAGTTGAGCCAAAGAATTGCCAAAAACTAGCCTGCAAGTTCAGTACTTCCGTATTGTAAGTGCAACAGGAATTCAATTTCAAGTTTTCCTATTTTTAAGAGTATTTATAAATATACCGAGAAATACATTTACTGCACATACTTGCACGCCTCAGAACAAACTGGAGTTGCACTCACCCTGAGCCCTGGAATGAAGTCTCCTCTTTTGTAGTAGTCCGTACTGGCTGCAGCTCTTTCAACCGAAGTTCCCATCCCATACCGATTGTTCTCACAGATGAAAACACAAGGCAATTTCCACAAGGCTGCCATGTTGTATGTTTCAAATATCTGGCCCTGAAAGAAAAGGAGAAGTTATTTCTAGTCAGGGAGCTCAGACTGCAAGCATGAGGCTCTAATGAAAAATCATTCAGCTGCAGATGTCTAACTAGTAAAACTTCTAACACTAAAAGTAATCTGAAAGCAGCTACTCGCTGCAGCTCAGCAGGAATAAGAGAGAAGTTACCTGGTAAGGTAACTGTCACCTCAACTAATAGTTCATAGATCCTCTGTATGTTTAAACCTATTATTTTTTTAAACCTATTTTAGTATCCATGTTCTGATAGCACAAAACCTACTTTAATCAAAGTATTTTACGAATAGTCATAAGAAACTTCTTGATTGATTAACTTGGCAGGGCACTGCTACAGCAAAGTAAAAGAAAAGTTCAACCACATCGACTGCATCAGCCTTACGACTTTAACTCTTAACACAGAAGAAAAACAAGAGCTGAGCCCTTAACCTGTGTTTTTGAAGTGGCAAGATACATCAACACTGCACTCTAAAACACTGATTTCTTATCTGGCTTAATTTTTCTGCCCAAAATATGAAAACAACTGTCCGAATGTCTGAAGCAGCTCTGCAAGACACTTGGTATCAGTGGCCTTCTTTAATAAAGCATTCTTGCAGCAGGAAGTCCAACATAAAATCTTGTTTTTAGTTCCAAGACAGATGTTGTCTGGGTTGCAGACTCTGAACAGGCTAAAGATGTGCTCCTGCTACCTTGCAAAAAGGCAGAGCTCATGGTTCACGGAGTGAAAACAGATTACCCACAGACACACTCCTCACAGAGCCACATTTAAACAAAGCTCGTTTACCTGATTGGCTGCACCATCCCCATATAAAGTCAGACAGACTTCGTTTTTACCAAAGTATTTACAGGCCAGAGCAATCCCAGCTCCAAGAGGAACCTGTCACAGAGCACAGGAGAAGGCAAAAATTTAGAACAATGTTCAGAGGAGCTGAAAACAAGTAGCTGGTGAAATGTCAAGAGACATTTACTGTGTTAAGGATCTGCTCAAGGAATGAAGAGTTGTTACCAACACAGAGAGGAAACAGTGGCATGGGACACAAGCCAAATTCAACTTGTGTTTTAAAGTAGAAATCATGTACATACCTGAGCGCCAACAATACCATTACCACCGTAGAAGTTTTTGGTATACATGTGCATTGATCCTCCTTTTCCCTTCACACATCCTCCTTTTCGACCTGAAACATGATCAAAAAGGGATTTATTTTTTCAGAGGAAAAATACTATACAAATGGTAACATCTAATCTGATCCTTTAAAAGGTAACAACCCTAAGACAACATTGTATTTGTCACCAGATTCACCTCAGTAGAGGTAACACATTGATTCCCAAGGACATAATGGCCTCTATCTGCAGAGTTTACATTTAAATGTATCTATCTATCTAAATAAATAAATAACCAGGAGGAAGAACGATCATGAAAACATTTCAAGAAATACAAAACGAGATTTATGAAGAAACTTCAAAGCCACCCAAGGAATTTCAGTGTCCTCAACACAAAAGCACTCTCTAGCAAAGTAGTGATTTTATTTTTCTAAATAACCAACACAGTCTACATTTCTCATACCTGTAACCTATGCTACTGTAACAAGAAGTACATATACAGTCCTTTTTAATTCTTGCTTCTGCAGTAGAAATATGAACAGTTCCAAAATAATTGCAATAATCTATGTCTTCTCTTTGACAATAACCAGAAGTAAAAATTACAGATTCAAAATAAAAAATAAGAAAACCAACAGCCATACAACAACACAACTCCCACCCTCCATATAAACATCAATACATAGCCCAGCAGTATTCAAGCTGTCGTTTACAGATAACTGGCAGCCCGTGAAGCACCACAAGAAGTCCCATCAAATGAGTAACTTTTTCAAATACACATTAAGTGTACTCAAACGTAGTTGGAAGACAAAGGTAGCATCCATGACAGTGCACTAAAAGAGCAAACTCACTGCTGCCATCAGTACCTGAAAGTAAAACACTCCAATACCATTCCAAATCCAACCCACTTTTTATTTAAAAGGTGCCTTTTACAATTTCAAAAATCAGACTTTTTCTTTGCTGTTATCTCCTCTTCCCACAGAAACAAGGTAAAGAGTTAATTTTTGTTAGCTGCCAAACCAGTTATCAAAACCAGCAAGAATACTGCCCTCCAGCTGAGGTCCTACAGATGCTAAGCATTAAGATTATTTTCATTTAATAAAATGTATCGCAACAATGTATAGCTGTCAAAAAGCAACCTCTCAAGCCCATCTCTCCCCAACACAAGGCTTGCTATCTTCCACCAATTCAGCAAGTGCAATCCTCCACACTGTTCTCTTAACTATGAACAGAACTACACTGTGTAGGCAGCAGAGCAACCTTAAACCCTGCTGAATACACCTGTCTAGTTCAACAAGAACTTTGATAATCAGTGGTTTTCCAGCTACATTACCAAATCATGACTTATGTGAAATTTCTTATACAGGATCACAGCTGCTACCGTCAAAAGACTTACTAAACAATAATAAGGAAAGCTTGACATCTGTGTGTTTCTTCCTTGTCCATTAGTTCTGTTTCCTCTCAGAAGAGGAAATTAGATTGGTTTAACATAATGTACTTTGGCAAATTATGTTGGCTCTTAATGTCACCTTTTAGGTAATAAAGTACTCACAGCATAATTTAATCATCTTCTCCAGGAATAGACTGTGGCCAACTGCTTTATTTCTCTATTTTTTCTCCATTTACTTTTTAAAATATAACTGTAAATCCAATACTTTCAGATGCAGCACTGATTTAAATTACAGAAATTTTTGCCTAAAGCAAGTTTGAGCTGCAAGAAGTTTTCTTAAATTGGTCAGGTGGACCAGGCCCAGCTAATCTAAGAACACACAATTTCTCATCAGCCTGTGCCACTTCTTACATTTCTTACCATAATCTGCTTTTTAAACTTAATCATAAAGGCTTGTATTTTACTTCTAAGCACAGTTTGCTTATTTTGCCTTAGGGTTGGCGGTTGTTTTAGAAGTAGAATGCTGGTGCTGCTCTGGAATCTGTACTTCCCTTTCTTAAGGGTGAATCATTTTTATTATTGGTCTTCTTTGTACTTTTACTATGCCCATGAAGTGGTTTCACATGGGCTTCGACAGATTCTGCAGCTAGGGCCAAAGCAAAAAAAAAAAAAGTCCAAATAAAAAAAACACAAACCAAACAAAGATTAATTTTCATCATAAAAATACTGTTTTACATTTAAACATCAGTAACCTTCCTTCACATTTTTGTACAACCCTTCCTCTTGTACCTCTTGTATTTTAGCTTAGTTGCAATTCCTAATTTACCACAGTCACTTTTCCCTATTCTTTCTACTCCTCCTAGAACAACCTGGTCTCCACAATATCATTCCTCAGGGAACTGTCAATTCTCCCAAACAATTCTTTCCTACAGTTTGTTTCCCATAGGATGATCTTACCTATTAGTCTTTGGTTGACTCTGCCTCCTGCTCGTTCAAACATTTTTAAACTCTGTCACTTCCTGGTCACTGTAACTCAGGCTATCTTTCAGTTTTGCATTTTTCAGTCAAGATCTTTGTTCTTAAAAATGAACTCCAGTGGCACACCTATCCAGAAACTTGCCCCAAGCACCATTCTTGGAACAACGGTCTCTGTACTGCTGCTGTTCTTCCCCCCTTAAAAGGGCTCCACTAAAACCAAGTGTAATGCTATAGAATATGATGCATTGAGAAGTAAATTAGACAATAACATCACCGATATTTATGGTTTCAGGTCCAATAACAGACCTCAGTCAACAAAGTTTCCTTCTTTACTTTCTTCCTTACCTGTACCTAACAACATTTGGCAAGTCAAACACATGCTATCTTAGTATATAAAGCCATACCTCTTCTCTATCTCCATAATGTGCTTTTCTGTATTAATGTTTCAAGCATGCAAATGCTCAGATTAAGTCTTCATTACAGCAATGATTCATAATACCAGCAGCATACAAAGGCCTTCGAATTCCTTGTTAATTTTTCACTTCTGACATCAGTACGCAGATCTCAGCAGGCTGACCCACTCCTCTTGCCTGCTCCCCTTACAATCTGACTGTCAATAACCACCTCCTTTCCGCAAAAATTTAGGTAGACATCACCATGTCATGCTCTTGTTTTTCAAAAAGAGTCACAAATTTCCCAAACCATTCATTTTATCATTACAAGCAGTGCCTACCAGTCTAAGACTTCAGCAGCATAATTCAGAAAATTCAAGTCTGCCTCCAAGAAAAGGTAATACCCTGCCATATTGAGAATAAATGACAACCGCTAGCAAGCTTCATTTAAGCAAGCTGCTACAGCACATCAAACATTGCATACAGTATCAAGAAGTTTTCTAAAGTTATGCCTTGGAAGGCATATGACCAGCTTATGACTTACGTTTTATTATAAGAAGTGGCTGCATCATAAATTAAAAAAGATTTTCTACTATATCCCTAAATTACTTCTGAAGCCCCAGTACACTTTGTACATCAACAGCATTTTGAATTTGAGTAAAAAAAGTCTGATGTGAGTACAGCAGCACGTGAATCCTCATTCTACTCAGCACGTACCTGTAAGCTCAGCAAGAATTTCTCGAACGGGAACACCTCGTGCATAGGTAAAACCGTGAGCTCTGTACGCTGTGATCACGTGGTCTGTAGGCTTTATGGCAACTTCAAGCCCTACGCAGCAAGCCTCCTGTTACAGATGAAAAGTAAGTTTAGCAATGAAGAAAAGCACAGAGTTTCCACAGTCAGCAGCGTGGCAAGGTCTACCTTTGGTGCCCCTACAAGAAATAAAGGAGAAAAGAGAAAAAGCACAGCTACAGAAGGCTGCCTTGAATACAAAGGTGATGTTAGGCCTGTTTGTCCAAAATCTGGAGCTACAACATCCTTGGGCTCTATATTCCAACCTGTCCTGTCTGCAGCCAACAAAATTAGACAGGAGGAATATGAGAAGCTAAAAAGACGCGCAAGCTTTTTCCTAAACACATCTCCCAAATGAAGTATCTAAATAATTGCAATTCAAAAATGGGCAGAGGATGGACAGACAGCAAAGTTTCACCAAGTTCAGGAAGTTCTTTCTCCTGACTCTTGTTTTATAGTGGGTACCTGATCTACGAACCACTGGAACAAAAACCTGCCTTCTCTCTCTTCCTATTGCTGTCTCAAGACCCCAGGGATTCCCTTGTGCGCTCACAGACAGGTTTTAAAGAAATAAAGAACCAAATCACAGATCCCACGACAACTTCAGCCATTCTACACAGACACCCAGTTATAGATTTACTCTCCCATCTATTCAAATCCCTACGTAACTATGGCAAGACAATATAAAAACATCTTGGGAGGGGGGAAGGAATGGAGAATCTCACCTGACCATCATACAAGTGGCAGAAGCCACGAATAATCTTCTGCTTGTACAGCTGGTCAGACTTCAGCTCCATGCGTCGTATGGTCTGCATCGTCTTGTAGTAATGGAGCCCCTCCTCTCGAGTCATCACTGCCGTGGTACTAGGGCCTTCTTCCAGGCGGTGAAGGTCACATTTCTGCAAAGTTGAACAAGTATTTATTTCTTGAAAGTAGCTGATCCCATTTCTATCACTTTTTTTTTTTTTTTAAAAATGCCACACCATTTTCAAATCCTGGTTGTAATACCTTTTTAAAAAGAAGGCCAGCAAAACCTAAATGCCCAGGTCAAACAAAGTACAAAATTTATGCACCGTTTCCAAATTCAGGAAAATAAAAGCTTTACTTTCAATAAAGACAGATTTCCATTCACAAAATGAAAGCTTATAGCTCCTACTACCAGCAGGTGAAGTTAAGTGCTCATGAAATGCTAGAAAAGCTCATTTCCATGGTTATTGTATTCCAAATACTTGACAAGATGCACATAGGCTTAGTGAAGTGACAAGACAGGAGTTTCCTCTGTGGGAGTTTTTAAGATCTGGTCTTAAGTCTGGACCTCACCTCTTCTACAACCACTTTTACCCACAGCTATAAACTGCTGCGGCAGCAGCCACCCCACTGGCCAAACCACAACACATACCACAACAATTCCTCCCCAAACCATGGCCTATCCTGAGCTGCGTGGAGGGCTGATTTTAGGTACCCATACCAAAAATCCTTCCAGTCCAGCGGAAGGGACCAACAAATAGCTCTGTCAACACAGATGGGCAAAATACTGCTTTACAGGTTACATGACATTTTGTGTTAGAGCAACTCCGACAATGCCCTGAGGAATTTCATACAATGCACTTGCACACTACTTTACTTTGAATTAACACAGTCACACAACCACACACTTCCAAGCAGCATGCTTCCAGCTCCATCTAAAAATCAGGCCAGGTAGTACAGGGCTTGGTTCTAAAAACTCTTCTAATTTAAACATCCATCATTTCAAGATCTACAACAGTGCTTACAAAGAATACCAGTATAAAGCCTTCAGCTTCATCATTACCTTGATTTCAAATGTAGCTTCATTTGCAAAGTCTGCATAGTTACGTGATGCTACCATCACTCGAGAAGCCTTAAAAAAAAAACACAAAAACAAATATGAGCAACATTGAAATATAATTACAAGATAAAGCAAATGAATTGTCAAATTCTAACACCCAAATTGAAATAATTTTTAATGAAACTCTCCGGTGGCATATCCTTATAGTATTAGAGAACTTTCATTTTGTACATACGTACTAGAACTCCTTTAAAACACAGGATTTGAAATTAAGATTAGAAATTATATCCTTGATTAATTAAAGAAAACCTATAAGCTTCAAAATACCGTGAAGAGCATAAAAATCCTAAAAATACATACTCTTCTACACAACTACTGCATATTTCAATGGCTCTTGGCACTGACTGGAATTTCACCTTGACAGAACAAAAACTTTCTTTGGAAAAAAAAACAAAACACGTCAGATGTGTGGAACGTGAATTACAATTGCTCTTTCCTTTTAACAGGAAAAGAAGGTGGGTGGATGCAAGGCAACAAGCAGTGAAGAAGGAGAGTACTATGTAAGTGGGTAATAGCATGGCCACTACCTGAGGATACATGAAATACACAAGTACAGAATGGCTGGCAGAGTAAGGGAGAGACAAGAAAGATGTTTAAACAAATACTGATGTCTTTTCTAACAGTGTGAATACAGGCTATTATTACCTGACCGATAACTGGTGTTCTTGAATAAATTTACTTCATCTATTCATGCACACCTTGTGGCCATAAGGAGTGCACTTGATCTTTAGCAGCAAAATCATATTGCTAATTAAGTTACCCATAAATTTCTGTAGCTTATTCAACTCTGGAATTTGCATACACTTAGATCAAGGTTCATTCTTTCAAAATTTTGAGACTATCCAGTCCTGTGTCTCCAACAATGGTATGATTGATAGATATAAAATTTGGAAAAAGGCCAGGAGAAATTTTCTTAATCCTTCTTCATTATCTACCATTGCCTATTTGATTTGGCTATCATGATCTCCCATCCCCCCAACATTATCAGATTAAATGTTTGAAGATTTTAAATTTAAACCAGGTTTCCACACTGTTTACCATAATGCAACAGTATTATCAGCGATAAAAAGCTATTTTAGTTCTAGAGCTGGAAGTCTGTCAAGAGTTTACTATTCGCAGAACCACCGAAGGGCTGAGGTTGGAAGGGACCTTTGGAGGCCGGCCTGGTCTGATCCCAGCCCTGAGCACTACACGAAAGCAATGCGAGGCAGTCTGTACAAAAGTTCTTAATACATGGCCAGTACACGTTAAAAAAAATAAAGACAGAAAACCTTGACCAAACTGGTTTAGGCCTTACCTCACTAACAGCTCCCTAGGTTAGCAGCATTTGGAAGGGAAAAAGGATAAAGAAAAAAAGAGTAAGTAACTGTAACAAACCATTGGGGGAGGAGAAATCAGCACATTATTAACAAACTGCAATACAGTTTACAGGTAAGCTCTGAGTCACAGAAAACTATCTTTACACTTAATAATATGATCAAAACAGGTATAAAACGCTGCCTAATGGATTAAGACTGCTGCTATTTATTTGCTATTTTATGCCTGTGTTATAAATGCCTAAGAACAAGTAAAGAGAAATCTTTGCATATTTGTCAGTCACTAGGATCCAAAACACTACATTAAGATATCCAAAATGGGTCTGGTTTGGACATCTAGGAAAGCACAGCGTGTCAAAAGCAGTCCAAGTACATGCAGTAAGGAACAAGTTTTTGGCATCCATCTGTAAATTTTAATGCAATCTAGCTGTAAATTAAGGAATACCTTCAGATGCATATTCCATACAGTCCCAACGCACAGAGAAAGATTTGCTGATGAACCTACTCTCTCATGCCATTCCCGTGAAACCAGCCACCCACAGGCTTTCGTGCCAGGGCAAGAAATTACTAGGCAAGTGAATTACTTCAGAAGCACAGTAAGAGATATGCTCTCAACGTCGAAAAGGCTATTGATCTCAATTACCAAAAAGCACCCTTTAACACTGCCAAAAACAAAATATATGATCTTGCCAATGTGCCTTTTTGTCAGCTAGATTATTTTCTCCTCATGGCCACAGTCGTTATAATGGAATAATAATGAGAAAGTAGAAGAGAATTGTGAAAATGTTTCACATGAAAGAGATGAAATGAAGCACAAATGCCATGAAATAACACAATTTGAACTAAAATTCAGGAAGAGCTCAAATGATCGCTATTTGAGCAAAGGCAAAGCACTCCAAAAAGGGGCCAGGGTGGGGGAATTTTGAAGTGGGCCTGCAAAAGGCCTTCAAAAAGGGATCGCTGCGTTTTATACCTAATTTAGTACGCGCACTAAGAGCCTCGGGACGGGGCACCTATGGGTGCCAGCCTCCAGGCCGCACCCTGGCCGTGCTCCAGCCAGCACTGGGGCGGCACGTCCTCGCCCCGTGTGACAGCACTCTCCGTGCACATGGCGCACTTCCCTAAATATTAACCTCAACACGGAAACCGGCCCTGCCCTGGCGTCAGGCGAGCGGGACACCTGAGGTACGCTCCGGTTTGCGAGCGCAGTCAGAGCCCGGCTGCTTACAGACACCCCCCCCACACACACAGCGACCATCTTGACTTTATTTTTATGCAGCCTTTGGCACAGAGCTGGCAGAGCAGAGCCCTGAAACCCCTTTATTATTACTGATAATTTCTTATTATGATTGCTGTTTCTCCGTCAGCCCCCCCACACCAGCAGCCCCCCCCCTCCCTGAGGCAGCGCGCGCCTCCCCCCCTCAGCGACCGTTGGGGCCGTTACCCCCGCCCCCCGGGTAACGGCCTCCCCCTCACCGTCCTGCCGGCGGCGGCGGCGGCGGCCGGGCCGGGCAGCACTCGGGAGAGGGCGGCCAGCAGCATCTTGCGCATGGAGCGGGGAGGGAGGGCGGCGGCGGCGGCACCGGCACCGTGCTGGGCCCCGTCCTCGAGTCTCCTTCAAGCCGCAGCCGCGCAGCCGCCACCGCCGAGCCCGCCCAAGCGCCCGCCCCCCGCGGCCCCTGCGCGCATGCCCGGTGGCGGTTGGGGCCGTTAGGGGTTCTGTCAGGGGTTCTGTCAGGGTTTCTGTCAGGGCTGAGGGCGAAATTTGTATAAATGCCTGAAGGGGGGTTCTCTCTAGAGAAAGGAAGGGCCCGGGGGGGCTGTGGGGAGTGTTCCCCAGAAATCCGGCTGTCCACGCGTGTTGCAGGATTTCCCGAGCCGCCTGGCAGCACCCAGAGGTGGGCAGGGGAAGCTGAGGCACTCCCTGGGGTGACCCTGCACTGTAACATTCTCTGCAACCTCTCTCAGCAGAGCCCGCTGCTGTTTCTTCCCTCTCTTACGCTAGCAAGGTGTTCTTGGCCCTGTCCTCTTCATTATGCTACCTCTGTGTAACATTGGCACCCCTCCTGCCCTCTCCTACACACCCAGCTTTTGTTCTTATTAATCCATATTTGTTGAGCAAATTTTTTCTCGTTCAGAAAACTGGCCTCTGGTCACAGCTGAGGGCACATAGAGCCTAGGTCATTTGCCTGGGAAGGATGGTGAGGCTGTCAGAGTTCCCTGTGGTGTGCAGCAGAAGAAGCACTCATGATTTTATTCTTGTGTTCTGTTATTCTGTAGATAACGCTCATCTGCTTCTGCTCAAGAGAGTAAAGTGTACTACTGGTGTCCATATGCAAGATGGAAAGCATGTTGAGAAACTCAAATACAACATCTTCAAATGGCAGCACTATGACATAAAGGTTTCAGGAGACCTATGTACAATTGTTAACTATGGACATGGACCTGCTCAAGGAAAAAAATCTGTTTTTATTACAAAAAAAATGCTGTCAAGCTTATTCCAAGTTCAGTATAATCTACCTATTCCTTCATCACATGAAATAAAAAAGTGGAGAAATGTTTCTAATTATGCACCTATAGACAAACATGTTATGAACACTTCTAATAGTCATATAATGTAGTTATTTTTGATGGGAAAGGATACATTTTTATCCCCCTGTGGAAAAATGGTAAAGCACTGATTATGTTACCCCTGTGACATTTTTACTTTTCATGCTATTTCATCAATATTCATGTGTTTTCTCCATTAAAAACTCTTACAACATGTTGAAATAATTAAATCCCTCCCCCCAAAAAGCTAATGCAGAAAGCTAATTCATGAATGAGGTAAACAATGACCAGGAAAACATAAATCATAAGCAGAGAATGCCAATAGAAAATAATTTACTTACTGAAGACGATTATGCAATGTTTCATAATGGAGCACCTTGCCATGTGTGACTCTAGTATTACCACATCAAGGGTGTGTTGCGTGACAGGAGGCCAAAACTCATTGTTTTCTATCGTTCGGGGTGTGATCCTGAAATGTTATCACTCGCTTGGATTGCAGCCGCCGTTACAAGCGTCTGCCGTCGTGTTAAAGGCAGGGGGGAGCACCCGGCGTTCAGGGCTTGTCCCAGCTCACTGTGTCTACATCCAGTAGGAAGCGATCCCTGCTTCATTTCACAAGTCGCCAGTTCACTGCCTGATTTTTCTTCTTCCCATGCCACCAGATCCAGCCTGCAGAAGGCAGTAGTAATGATTCCTTGTGCTTATTTAGTCCCAAATGCTTGAAGTAAGCCGAGGCCGTAGCAGCCCTTCTTAGCGGGGATTCAGTGGCACGGTGATGTGACGCTGTGCAGTGTGTTTGGTGGTGCGGTGTGCGGGAACGTGCGTGGTCTGGTGAGCTGGCTCCACTTGGGAGGGCTGGGATGGGGCAGGCACAGCCTCACCCCCACTGCTGGCGGGGAGCAGCTGCCAGAGCTGCGCCCTGGCTTCTTCACAGGGGGCAGTGGCCAGGTAGCTCCAGCACCACACAGAGGGATGATGGGGTTGAAAGGTGAACGACGAGACCAGGACCTGTGCCTGAACGGAAGAGTGAGGTTATCAAACAGAACAAATGTAGCCCTGGTTCATTTTCCATCTTCAGAATCTGAATCACCAGCCTCCACTCCAGGTGCATCCTCCACTTCTAAGACTGTTTAAGAATGCTCAGCAGGAACCATCCTTTTCTGGTTGCTATTCCTTCTTCAGAGTTTACATTTGGTTTATATCCTTCCATTTTTCTTTCTATCATCCCCTATCCCATTTGATTCTCTTACCTGGCATTTCTTTTGTTGTTCCTCTCTTCCTTTTCTCAGGTCCACATTGCTCCTCTACATCCCTTACCAAAAAAACTTTTTTTTTTTTTCTATTTTGACTCTCACCCCTTCTGACCAATTCCCATTCACTCTTACACTTTCGAGGAGTTCCTGTAATAGGCAGCAACACTACTCCTGACTTGTAATACTGGGATGTGCACTCTATATTTATGGAGGAATTACGATTAATTACATTGTCAAAATTCTTCAGATGATTTGTTTCCTTTGGATTTGCTGGGCTTTGGAAGAGAAGTAGTTTTCTAGGATCTTCCAGATGTTTTCTTTCTAGCAGTGACAGAAAAATGGATGAAGAAGCTATGGTTTCTGTTTGCTATTCTGATTGATTTAGAATCATAAAATTCCTGTATTATTATTTGGAACACAGTGAAGTGCCAAGATGCTACTGAATTTATAATGTAATTTTTCCTCTTTGAGTTTTATCCGTTCATGCCATTTGTCTCCATGCTTCCCGTTATTTTATGTATTTTGTCTAGTCCTCCAAGTAATCCGTATTACAACAGGGAGAGGAGCACTGCTGCTGAAAAGGCTGCCTTCATTTACGTAGTGAACTCCTGGGAGAAAAGAGATGTTATTTTACCATAGTGGGTTAGCCCAACTGCTGTAGGATTATTTGAGCTTAGCTTTGCTCAGTTTGAAACTCTCAGAATGTTGTGAGGAAAGGTTTTGTCAGCATTCTGTCACCGTCAGAATCATGAATAATTCCTCTTTGAATACGGGCTTTTGGGAGACCTCTGACCTGAAATGAAGTATCTAAAGGCACATACAAGGTTACAGTCTGTAAACACATTAGGAGTTCACTCTTTGCCTCGTCATTTGAAGTTTCATTTGAAGATGTGGGTTCCCCATCTGTGGAGGTGTTCAAGGCCAGGCTGATGCGGCCTTGGCCAACCTGATCTAGTGGGTGGCATCTCTGCCTACAGCAGGGGGCTGGAGTTAGATGTTCTTTAAGGTCCTTTCCAGCCCAAGCCATTCTATGATTCCATGATTCTATTCTCTATTTGGTCATGGCTAAAACGTCTGATAAAGTATCATGCCCAGTTTTGAGTGAAGTGTAACTATATGCTTTGAAAAAAGATATGAACTCACTGGAGAAAATCCAGATGAGAAGAATGTAGGTGATCAGTGGCCTGGAAGACAGGACCCAGAAAAAAGTGCTAAAGAATGGATATTGCATCATCCGAAGAAAATTTTGGGGAGAGTTGGTTAATGATTCTTAAATGTGAAATTGTTATACAGGAAAAAAACCCTGTAAAGAGGGCAGGAATTGAGGTCCAAAGCTAGCAAGAGCTGAGATGCAGGTAAGCTGCGTGGAGTGTGCAACACAGCAAAAGGGCTGGTGAGGAACTGGACCTGGGCTTCTTGCCACTGGACATTTCCGAGAACAGGTTTGTTAAATACCTGTCAGGAATGCTCTAGCTTTAGTTAATTTTAAGGCAACAGTATTAATTAGATTATGTTTCTTCCAGCTTTCTTGTCTGTGGTTCGGCATATGGAAGAGACTTTGTTAAAGGAGCTACAGTTCTCTGAAGTCCTACCTGCTTCCCCCTCTCGGGGCTACCTGCACCGCATTTTATTAGATTAAAACACGGTGGGTGTAAGGGAAAAAATAAGGCGTTTGTAGAACAAGTGCCGTAAGGTGGCACTGCAGCACAGGGGATAGGACAACCCGCTACCCTTCCTGCTACATCCAGTAGCTACCAAAAACCTATCGAGAGCCCCAACAGTGACTCAAACCCTTTCAGCAGTAAGGCACTGGAGGTTGCTTAGTTACTTGAGAAAGTATTAGGATAATGTTAAGGGAACAAACTGAAAATAAACTTGTTACATTACAGAAAGGGTGTGACAGCTTGGTACTGCTTCCCCAGTTGCATCTAGGCTGTTTGCTTCCTTTCCCTGAGCACAAGAAATTGGTGGTTTATACCAAATCTGTTGCTGTTGCCCACAGTCCCGTCTCCCTTGGGGGAAGAGGTGCCTAGTTTAGGTTGGTCCTCCAGTAATTTTGATGTTTATCTAGTTTTAATGAAGCTCCTAGACTGGAAGGGAGTCAAATTTATACAACTGTCCCCACAACAAAGAAACTCAACTGTACTGGTTGCAAAGCTTTTGGCACCACTGGAAAATCCACACTGCTTCCATAGCATATGGCAAGGGTCACCTGTCACAAAAAGGTTTGGTGCCAGACCTGCATGATCTGAAGCCAAATTGTCTCTGACAGCCCCCAGTGGATTCTGATTCATCCTTTGCTTTCTCTGGTTGAGTAACGATAGAGTGCCACTTAGCATGCATGCATCTGGATCCATGTGCCGAAAATCTGCAAATAATTATGTGAGGGAATGTTTTGTTTATGAAAGCAGATCAAACAAATAACAGAATTAAGGATGATCTTTAATTTGGCTTCCTGAGCTTTGATACCAAAATACACTCTTGCCCATTTGTGGAAGACTTATGAATAAAATCCAACTCTCTAATCCCACGCTTTAAAAAATTCTTCTCTCTCTCTCTCTCTCTCTTTCCCCCCCCCCCCCCCCCCCGTTATGACTAAGAACATTCAAAATTACCCTCAATTATGCAATTAAGACTACTCCAAATGCGTACAAATGGAAAGGGATGTGTGGAGTGAATTGAGTAAGAACATAGAGTTTCTTCAGGATGATCGAAAAGCATTTGAATGCAAGAATTTAAGGGAACTTTGTCTTTCACCAAACTGCTGAATCTCTTCTGGTAATCTGCATGTGACTTTCTACATGACTAGAATGAGTCTTGCATTGTTACTTTGTTCCTAGGTTTTAAAATGAAGTGTAGCTTTGTTAGAGCTCAGTTTAGTGTTACCTCATCATGAGCATTACAGTCAATATTTGGACTTTTTTTTTTTTCTAAATGTTGTTTTCATACGACTCTGGCCTGGAAACTAAGAATATTTTGGCTGTATAACTAGTTTTCTTTTGAAAAAGAAGTTTGAAGTTTGCTTAGAGTGCCATCTGTCATGATAGCATCCAGGCAAGTCCTGAACAAGTGACCAAACACAGCACTACCTCAAGACTTTTATCAAGCAAGACTGAGCTGGCAACACAAAATTTGGAGATGTGTCCTGGGCTAGGGGCAGGAAGGGGTGGAGAACCGAGCTGTTTGTGGCTCACAAGGCCTGGGTGGAGATGGGGAGCATGGACAGTGTGCCCTGCCCGAGGAGCACTGCTGTCCTGTGGACACCCAGCACAGCCTTCCAGGGCACAGGCAAAATGAGCACCAGGCCATGACCTTTGTGTTGCCTCTGGCAGTCAGCTGTCCTAGGCAAAGCCCAGCATTGCTCATGTTTCTGGTTGGTCCTGAACAAATGTGGGTTTTGATTCCAGCTGTGTATCTCCCCAGTGTGTCTCACTTGCCTGCAAGCAAGGAGTCTGCCTGAAGAACCATGGGGTGCTTCAAACATAGACTTACTTGCCATAAGATTCACTGTAAAGCCACAGGAGTGGGAGAAAGATGGGAATGCCTCTTCAGAAAGCAGGTGGTGCAGGCCAGGAAGGGTTACCTGTGCATCTACCATCTCGATGAGAACACGATTTACCATTCTGGTTCTTACTTTATAGGTTTTCCCCAGACACAGTCAAAATCAATAAAAATCTCCTATTGATTTCTATATGCAACTCAAACCCATTGCGTATTAGCTTCCAAACATATCGATGTGCATATATTTGCATTCATATATACAGGTCTATAACACTTTGACATAATGCAGGCAAATCATTTAAAGATTGTAAAAATATGCAGAAGTCCTATGTTCAAAGTTTGGAAGGCATGATTAAACTTAGCTGTTCTTAAACAAGTAAACACGATGAAGAATTCCTTCTTGGGTACAGACAAACTGTTTTAAAGTGTTTGTTAATCTTACGGTCTGCCAAATAAGGCAATATTTATTTGCTTTTGTCTGACTAACTTCAACTGCTTTAGAGTCACAGGTACTTTAAACAACAATTATGCCTTGGATCTTTCTACCACATGATACCATGTCCCTTTGCTCTGCTTTTTCTTCAAGCATCTGTCTCGTATTTCA